GCTGAAAGCAACCATTGGTTTAGTTCCATGAAGGAACAAATCGGTTCCTTCAGGTGCAGACTCTGGCTTCTCAGTGGCAAAACCCCACCGCTCCAGCAGGCTGATTCAGCAAAATGAAGCCCAAATTGGCCTATTAGTCACAGCGAGGGGCAGTTAGGAACCAGAATGGCTCACCAGTGTGTAATAAAGATGGCAACTGGCCTTTCAGAGCATGATTCTTCTCTCCACCTTTGAACACATTTCCTCTTGTGACTGGTAGGTGTCAGCTGTCAGGCAGTCAAATTTGCCTGAGAAATGTCGTCAGATACAGGACGAATTCCAGTTCGTGCCTTAACACGTTTTAAACAGAAGTAGTGCAGGTGGTGAAGAGAAAAGTTCGTTTGCTCCTGGGGCTTTTGTGTGCCCTGTTGCCGGGTTGCAAGGCCACTAAGCGTTTCTATTCTGCATCCCCGTTATGTTCAGGCAAGGCGAGCACTATGCACCCTGTCACTGTGCACCAGTGGGTGTGAACCTCCTTGGACAGAGCTGTAATTCTGCCCCATTGGGTCAAATCACTTGTCAGCCAACATACTGTAACATATTAAAGACATTGTGAATAAGAAATTCATTTCCCTCTGTTGATATTACACAATTGAAAAAAGTAAGAGTGTGTGTGAGAGAGACTATGGAAGAAAGACAAATGTGACAAGAACGGGAAGTTTGATCTGAATGACTAAAGCACCATTTTTTCTTCATGCTTTGATCTTCTGTTTTATTTTAAAACTTCCTGTGTGAGGCAGAGAAATGTCTAAATTCATATTCCATGAAATCTGTGAGCTCAGCTACTGCTTCTACTTTAATGTGATGTCTTTAGGACATGAACCTATTATGATAATGATCTGATTGGTAAAGAGAGGTCATTAGATACGTTACTCCAGAGAGAGCTACCAGCAAGGAATAGTGATTAGAGGTAGAGATTTTTTTCTTTAGAGTTTTCTGTTTTGCCACTTTATCTATAGCCAAAAATAAATACTCTTCCACACTCAATAAATTCTCGAGAGTTTTGAATTCAGATAATAGTAGGTTTCGTTCTATGTCAATAACTATTGAATACTCACTAAAGGATTGGTTTCCTAACTACATATTTGATGCATGAATATCATTTCAATAAATGAAATTACATAAATATGCATTGAGAAAAAGATAATTCAGATTTTCATTTTAGAGGGAAGCTCAGTGAGCCCCACACATTTATAAGAAAATATCTTTGATGTGTTCCTTGTTGGATATTTAGGGAACCAGGAGTTTTTAAATTTTCCTTTTCATCAGCATTTCTCATGGTACTTTTGTGGGTAGAAAATCATGACAATCACATAATTCTAGAAATTAAAACAAGGGCCAGAACTGAGGTGTGGCTGGTAAAGCCACTGCCTTTCTCTTTGTCTCTCCCTCTGTCTGTAACTCTACCTCTCAAATAAATAAAATATTTTAAAAAGAGAGAGAGAGAGAAGGAGAGGCAGAGAGAGAGATAGAGAGAGAGAGAGAGAAAGTCTTCCATCCAATGGTTCATTCCCCAATTGGCTGCAACGGCTAGAGTTGTGCTAATCCGAAGCCAGGAGCCAGGAGCTTCTTCCAGGACTCCCATGAGGGTGCAGGGGGCCACAGACCTGGGCCATCTTTTACTGCTTTCCCAGGCCATAGCAGAGAGCTGGATTGGAAGTGGAATAGCCAGGATTAACCGGCACCCATATGGGACGCCGGCACCACAGGCAGAGGATTAACCTACTGCACCACGGCACCAGCCCCTCCTTCTCTCTCTGTGTAACTCTTACTTTCAAATAAATAAATAAATCTTTAAAAAAAAAAAGTTCTTGGAAAAATGGATATTATAAAAAACTAGAACCAGCTTGAAACATTATAAAGATTGACAATGATTTATTAAGTTTTCTCAATTGTAAAAAAAAGTGTGTTACATATATATGTTCTTGAGATGTATACATCGACATTATGTATGTGTAAGAGTATATACATATACTCACATATCTACATTATGCACATGCACATGCACACTTGAGAGTACTTCAGAAAGTTCATAGTGGGATGGGTGTTAGGTCTAATAGTTAGGATGCTGGTTGGGACACCCCTATCCCGTATCGGAATACCTGGGTTCAAGCCCCACCTCCACTCCCAATTTGCTTCCACTAATGCAGACCCTGAGAGGCCTCAGTAATGGGTCAATATTACACACAGTTGGGTCCCTGCTACTCATGTGGGAAACCCCAACTGAGCTCTGGCTCCTGGCTTCAGCCTGGCCCAGTGCCCTCTGTTGCAGACATTTGGGGAATGAATGAGAGAGATGGGAAATCTCTCTCTCTCTCTCTCTCTCTCTCTCCTTCTCCAACAAATAAGCAAATAAAATTTTTTAAAAGTATGAGTGTATCTTGGTATAAAAAATGTTTTGGTGCAAAAAGATCCTTCTCATAATATTTGGAAAATGTATACTATTAAAAATGTATGTATTGGGGCCAGCACTGTGCTGTAGCAGGTAAAGCCACTGACTGCAGTGCTGGCATCCCATATGGGCATCAGTTTGAGTCCCAGCTGCTCCACTTCCCGTCCAGCTCTCTGCTATGGCCTGGGAAAGCAGTGGAAGATGGCCCAAGTCCTTGGGCCCCTGCACCTGTGTGGGAGACCTGGAAGAAGCTCCTGGCCCCTAGCTTCAGATCAGCACAGCTCCAGCTATTGCAGCCAACTGGGAAGTGAACCAGTGGATGGAAGACCTCTCTCTCTGCCTCTCCTTCTCTCTGTGTAACTCTGACTTTCAAGGAAATAAATAAATCTTTTTTTAAAAAAAATGTATTGCAAAATTGTTTTTGCACCAAAATAAACACATACTTTTTTCTACAAACTTTCTGAAGTTCCCATATGCGTGTGTGTATGTATGTGCGTGTGCTCATGGGTAAACACACACACACACACATACACACACACGCACACAGCCGAGTGTACCTTGTTCTTCAGAATGGCAGCCTCCAGGAGGGAGTCCTATCATATGGTTCTCATATAGCACAACATTTATAGCATTGGTTAAGTGCTGAGCACAACATAAACAGTTAACAGATACTAAAAATGTTTTTCAACTTTAAGAGAGAAGAAGTTTAAGAATCCAGTCCCTTTTAAAAAGTTTAAAGTAGCATAAAAGCTCAAAGGAAGAGAGGCACTGTTTGGCTGTTTGAGCTTTGCTGAGGCTGACTCTCAGATCCAAGCGGCAAAATGGAAGCTTCTGCAGGCCTGTCCCCAACAGGAAGGTCCTGTAGCAGAGGAAGCTACTTGGAGATTGTTCTCTAAGCTAATGCAAATTTGTCCATGTCCTTCCATTAGTATTCTCCCTAAAGCTAGAGAGTGGGAAGAATAATCATCAGAATGTATTGTAAAACTGAGAAAATATTTCTTTAAAAAAAGACAGGAGGCAAGCGATGCATGATTTTGGCAGTGTTAGATGGAGGGAAGAGAGAGAGAGGAGGAATAGAGAGAAATAAATAAGTCCCATAGCTGGGAATTCACTCCAGGCCAGAGACAGGCTTTCCTCCTTTTAGGTCCCTTTAATGCATTCCTGAAACCTGCAGACACATTTCCACAGCTGAATGGACCAAGATGGTCAGAGAAACATCTGTAGTATCCTTGTCCCAAGGCCAAAGTCCTTTAAGAAGATTTAAAGACACACCCTGGTGTGGGTGTTGTGGCACAACAGGTTAAACCACTGCTTGGGATGCCCATATCCCATGTAGGAGCTGGAGAGTGAGTCCCTCTCCACTTCCAATCCAGCTCCCTGCTAGTGTGCATCCTGGGAGGCAGTGGATGATGGGCCAAGTACTTAAGACCCTGCCACCCATGTGAGAGGTCTACATGAAGTTCCTGGCTTCTGCCTTCAGCCTAGTGCGGACACAGCCATCGCAGGTATTTGGGGAGTGAACCAGTGGATGGAATATCTGTCTCAACCCACCCCCATCACTCTGCCTTTCAAATAAATCTTTTTAAAAAAAAAAAAGGTAAAAACACCCCTAGGGTAGTATTCAGGGATACAAGACAGGAATGTTTGCACATTCGAATTTATGACAGCCCTTCAAAAGTTCACAGAAATAGAATTAAAAAATAAATTATGTTAGTCTCTCTCTCTCTCTCTCCCTTTCTCTATATCTCTTTCTCTTTTACTCAAAGTCCTCCCTTCCTCTCACTCTCTCTCTGTAACTCTGCCTTTCAAGTAAATAGATAAAATCTTTAAAACATAAAAAAATGTAAAAGTCTGTTAGTGCAAAACTTGATGGCTATGCCTAGTTTTTTCACAATACACATTGTCCACGAACCATTTGAAGGCCACGCACCTCCCCAGGACTGTCGAAAGCCCCCCTTCTTAAGAACGTACATTCCAAGTTGCAGGAACAACAGGAAGGAGTGGGAAGGACCAGCCTGCGCCTCTGAGACTTGACAGCTTGCTCTCTATATCACGTCAACCTCATTTGAAAACCGAAATTCTGATGTCATATGCAGATAACTAGCTGAAGTTCCCTGAGATCATCTTAAAGGATTTTTCATGATGCTTGTTCAGACATTTGCCCCTTGGAAGTCTGGCTCTGTCCCTCCTTGGTGGAGCACTCCACAAGGGGAGGATGAGGGAGCTCACACCCCTCGCAGAGTGGAGGGAGCTGGCATAGACAGAGAAGGGACTAGGGAGAGCCCTGGGTGTCTTGCCAGCAGTGGGAGTGAAATTTCTCAACAGGCTTCCTCCTAGTCTGCAGCAAGGACCAGCTGCCCACTCACTGAGAGCTAAAGGTAGCTCTCACTTCACAGAGGCGAGCTGGCCCAGGGACAGCCCAGGGGCAGAAAGGTGGCAGTGTTTAACCACCTCAGTCCTGAAAAACTCAACCCTTTCCTCCCTCCCTCCCCGCCCCACTACGCAACCCACTATCTCTTGCTCAACACAAGGCTTCAAAGGCAGTGGGTGAACTAGTGGGTCCCAGGCTGTGGGGCTGAACACAGCCTCCTGCTCTGGGTTGCCTGGATTGCCTAACGGCTGTCAGCTCATCCTCTCTGTGGTGGGGTCTGGTGTTGCCCGGAGAAGAATCGCCCAGGCCGGTAACCAGGGCCTTTGATCCTCAGAGTTGCTACTATCAGTGCTTTCCCTCCTCTTGTTCTGTCTTTCTCCAAACTTTGAAGATAATGAGTCTTAAACATTTGCAAGTAATTAGAAGGTGTGGCTGCCAAAGAAAAGTGAGTATTTTTCTTTTAAATGGGAAGAGGTTGCTTTGCTCTTCGCACATCCTTAATTATATCACATGTGCTTATTTGGTCTCTGATAAACTGATCTGGCCCAGGTCGGGGGAAGCCACACCTAGGAAGTAATGAGCCCCTCCTGCAACAATAATAGCCATTAAGAGACCAAGAGCTGAGTGTGACCATGAGTCAATTGCTTATCGCTTACTGACAATTTCAGCCCCCAGCTTTAATTCACAGATGGCAGAGGCGAAGGCGCTGTGTGTTTCATGGAAAAAGAACAGGTGATGAAAGGATCAAAAAGACTACAGGGAGGCTGGCAGGTTAGGCCACTGCTTATGATGCGAGTACCCGTATCTTAGTGCCAGTTCAAGTCCCTGCTGCTCCGCTTCTGATCCAGCTTCTAGCTAATATGCCTGGGAAGGCAGTGGAAGATGGCCCAAGAACTTGGGTCCCTGCCATCCACGTGGGAGACTTGGCTGGAGTTCCTGGATCCTTGCTTGGAGAGTGGTGCAGTAAGTGGAGATGTGTGTGTGTGTGTGTGTGTGTGTGAGAGAGAGAGAGAGAGAGAGAGAGACCACATATGTATCTCCATATTTATCTGTCACCCTAACTTTCAAGTAAATAAATAAGCTGCCCGTCCTTATCCAGATCTTGCCTGTGCTCTGGGGACGTGAGCAGGCACGTGGCTGTGGCACCCTCAGAGACCCTGCCCCCTGCAGACCAGCAGCAGGAAGTCAGGCTGCTCAGTGGCACCTGGAGTCCTCCATAGGCGTCTGCTTCTGAATTTGTAAACAACAGCAGCAGAATGTGCTGTGAATAATCAAAATAGCAAAGTGGTGTTCTCCCGTATCAAGCAAGTCCCTGACAGGTGGCTCACCCATCCTTGCAATGTTGCTTTCACATACCTTGTCTTTCCCATGTTGAGGTGCATACGTGGTGTGTGAACACATACATGTATGCAGCTGTATAAATAGAGGTACCTTTGGACTTTTTCCTATTTAAAGGACTCAGTGAAGGAAGGGATATGACATAAATAACACTGGTCTTACCCTTTTAGGATTGACCGCCAACTGTTTCAGAGATACTTTACCTCCTGTGCTGCTGCCACAGCATTTCAACTTTTTCTCCTAAAATCACTTCCCTACGACAAAGCAAAGCTGAACAGTCCCTCCTGGGGATGAGGAAGGTAAAAACACTTTCATTTTGATTTTTTATGGGAACGCAAAGTAGACAGAAACAGGCCTCCAATGTCCTTAAGCCATCAGTCCCAGAGGGACCCAGGATTTGTCATTCTGACCCCATGACTGGTTATGATCCTCTCTCCTGAGAAACATGAGACCCTGAGACTTTTACAGAATTTCATTAATATCTTAGAATTAAAAGGAAAAAAACTTTGAAGAAAAATAATCCATATAGTAATAAATGCCACTAGATGGAAGCCACATACTTTTAGACATCGGCCACTATTTCAAATGTTTTACAGGAATAAACTCACCTAGTACTCTATATAGCCCAGTGAGATTGATACCATCACTGCACTTGTATATCAGATGAGGACACTGAGGCACAGAGACATGCGACAACGAGGTTGCACAGGTGCTCAGCACTGGTACTCAGGCTCTGCTCTGTTCCACACCAACTCCAATTGAAAGGCAGGCTTGGTTCAAGAAACCAGGAAGCAACAAGGTGGCATCCTAGCAAGAGAGTTTCTTGAAGCCCCAGGGGCTGCTTCATTCAAGCACTCTCATCTACTCACACCCTGATCTAAATTAGGTTTGAGAAATCCAAGTGAGATTGGGATGCCTACAGGGATGGAGCCCTTGCCAGACTGTGTACATGAAAAGGGATATGATCTGCTCCTGAGGCCTATTTGTTCAGAACCACAGCAGAAGTCTCTCCCCCAAGGGCTTGTCACTTTCACTCTCAGATCCCAAGATCAGTGCACCCAAGAATTCTCCACTAGGCTATTATTGCATTTTGTTTCTCTGAGAGGCAGAGATACAGAAGGAGAGCTCCTGTTTTCTGCTTCTTCTCCCCATACACCCACAGTGACAAGGACTGGGCCAACATGGTAGCCAGGGGCTGGGAACATAGTCCAGGTATCCTGCATGGGAAGCAGGGACCCGATTACTTGCATTGTCACCACTGCCTCCCAGGGTCTGCATAGGCAGGGAGCCGGAGCCAGCAGTGGAGCCAGGAATCAAATCCAGTCGCTCCAGGGTGAGCCATGGGCATCTGAACCGCTAAACTCAGTGCCCACTCTACCAGGAAGCTCTAAGGGTGGGATGGTTGTCGAGTTTTAGGAAGGGCCGAGACTGAACCCATTTCTTCCAGAAAAACAGGAGAGCACAGGCGACTGACTCAGAGCACAGGTGTGGTCTGCAGCAAAAGTGATAAACTGAGAGGATCCAGCCAGGGTTATTTATTTACATTCATTTCAACAGAACCCTCCCAGATGAAGAAACAAACATATAAGTAACTCAGTACAAGAGTTCTGGCAGTAAACATGGCCACAGAGGAACAGGTGCTGTGAGGATACAGAAAGGACAATGTATGAAGAAACCATGGCCTCTCCTTCCACCCACCTCTTCCACTCCCACTCCCACTCCCCACGGAAGGAGGCACTTGGTCCCTGGTGTTTTCCGGCAGGCACACAATGGAGTTAGGTAACTCTGGAAAGAAGGAGGATCTAGTAAGAGGAGGCTGGATGAGGCAAGCTCCCCATGTGCATGCTTGAGTGATGAGAATATAAAACAACGAACAGTGGAAAGTATCAGTTTATGTTGTGGGTGTGTGTGTGGGGGTGCATGTGTGTGTGTGTGTGTGTCTGCCTGTTTCTGAATTTTTAAAACATGATTTAGTAGGTTGCCTAGATCTGTTTTAAAATTTTCAAACTTATTTTTCAAAAACGTTTATACAATTCAGTGCCACCCACTGTCTTTTTTTTACAGACTGATAATTTTTATGACTATACATTCAAAATGCCCTACAAAACACCAGCAAACCAAAGCCAATAACATATAAAAAGGATTATGCAAAATCCTGCTGCCAACAATTTTATTCAACATTGGACTGGAACTTCTAGCCAGGGCAGCTAGGAAAGAAAACAAAATAAAAAGCCTCTAACTTGGGGGCCAGCGTGGTGGTACAGCAGGTTGGCCTCAGCCTGAGACGCTGGCATCCCTGAGGAGCACTGGTTCAAGTCCCGGGTGCCCTGCTTCTTCGTTCTCTTAACTGAGGAAAGAGAAATGTTCACATAGAAGAAAGAGCATGTAGACTCACTTTCAGAAACTTCTTTTAAAGGAAAAAGTAACATAGAATTTCCTCATTGAAGCAAAGAAGCATTTTAATAAGTGGACTCAAAGAATAGAGCTACTCAGGTAACACCGCCACCTGCAGTGCCGGCATCCCATATGGGTGCCAGTTCAAATCCCGGCTGCTCCACTTCCAGTCCCACTCTCTGCTATGGCCTGGGAAAGCAGTGGAAGATAGCCCAAGTCCTTGGGCCCCTGTGCCTGTGTGGAGAGACACAGAGGAAGCTCCTGGCTTCTGGCTTTTGACCAGCGCAGCTCCAGCCATTGCAGCCATCTGGGGAGTGAACCAGCAAATGGAAGACACCTCTGTCTCTCTCTCTACCTCTGCCTCTCTGTAACTCTGCCTTTCAAACAAATAAAAAATGTATTAAAAAAAGAATAGAACTACTACTAATTATAAATTGACTAGCAGAATAATATATTTTTGTCATTCTTCAAGGTGTATGGAATTTTGTATTTTTAAAAATAAATCAAACTTTTAAAAAAATCTCTTTTCTTTCAGCCTCTAACTGTACGATTCATGGGTTAGATGCCACTATCTAAAAGCTGATTGCAGTTAAAAAAAATAGTAGGTTGAATTTCTGCCTACATATTTAAATATTTTCTTTTATTTTCTGGACTGTAGCTTCTCTGCTGTGGATTTTCACTGTTTCAGGAACTGATATCCCAGATGGCTACGGCGAAGTTGCAGTAATCATCGAAGGGTTTTTAGGTCTTTAGTAACAAACATTGGTATCTGACTCTGACAGCATTGTAAAGCATTTTCCTGCTTCATTCTTCTAGAGTTTGTTCAATCCAAGAAAGAGAGTTCTCCTCTAACCATGTGTTTTTCTCAACTGAAGAAGATCTTTGTTTCATTAGAAAGAAACCGAGTTTCTAAAATTGCAATTCTTGGCACCTAGCTCCATGAGGTTGGAATGACTTGATTTTCAGGTCTGGTAAGTGTGATCTGTCATTTAGGCAATGTAGACAATGTCTGCCTTTCTGCATTTGAAATGAAAAAAAGGAATTGCCAAGATTCTGAATGTAATTCTGTCAAGTTTACATACATCCATGTGTGTGTGTAACACATGTGTAAATCTGATAGATGTGAAAAAATAGTCTATTACCTTTGAGATATATAGTTATATCTCCATTTTTCTTGGTTTTTTTAGCTTTATTTACGTACTTTGAAAGTCAGAGTTAGAGAGAGAAACAGCAAGAGAGCTCTTGCAGCTGCTGGTTCATTCCCAAGACGGCTTCAACAACCAGCACTGGGCCAGGCCCAAGCCGGGAGCCTGGGCTTCATCCAGGTCAATGAAAACCTTGCTTTTCCATCTTAAAAAAAGACTATGCTCCGTATTTATCTATGATAGCACCATCCAGTGAAATACTTTCCTAGTGAAATACCAGCAAGCAACCAAATACCCAACCTGACTTCATCTCTAAACCCTTCCGTTGGAGTTGAGACCCTTCCTGACTTGTTGGAGACAAGAGACTAGCGACTGCCACTGAGAAATGGACAACAAGCCATTCTGCAGAGAGCAGTGAGAGGAGACAACGCATGTGTGCACAAATGGGCAGGTAGGTAGGATTTTTCAAGAAGGAAATGATAGAAATAGCTCTAGATGTTCTGTTTTTCTTCAGAAAGCTCATAAAAAACATCATGAAAAAACAGTACATGGACCTCAATGTTTTACACCAAACTAAACTTACCTTCTAATTCTGTTTTCCATGAACTTTCAAAGCACCCTCATATTTTTTCTCATGGAATTAAAAACTACTTATTCTGAGAACACTGCTACCAAAAAAAGTATTCAATGATTAAGTAATTATCAACTAATTCCATAAATGCCAGAATCAAGACTATCAGTCTCTCAAGTTCTTTCCAATCTGACCCACCACAGATCTCAAAACATTAAGATTTACCACTTTAGCCATGACTCTCTTTACATTCTTCTAGAAGATACTGAATGTTTGTCTTCAACTCAATACACATCTGAACAAGAGAATCTACCACAAGATAAGTGTCTCAAAACACTCAACATAACAATGTTAATTGAGACTTGGCCCTCTCTGCTATTGGGTGTCCTTAGACCATATTCCTGGATTTCTGTATTTCCATTTCTAAGCTTCCTTGTGTTTGCTTTCATGTGAAGTTGGTAAAATGCATTCAAGTTCTTAGCAAGCCAAAGTTTGACTATTGAACTTCTCCATCCTCAGGAGTGGGCATGTAGCCCAGTGTTCAGGAAACCCCTGTTCCCCATTGGAGTGCCTGGGTTTGATTCCTGCCTCTGGCTCCCAACTCCAGCTTCCCACCAACGCAGACCCTGGGAAGCAAGAGCAGTGGCTCAGGAATTGGATTCCTAGCTTCTGTGTGGCAGACCTCGATTGCATTCTCACCTTCTGTCTTCAGCCCAACCTGGTCCTGGCCATTTTAGACATTTAGGGGAGTGAACCAGGGCATGGCCACTCTCTTTTTGTCTCTCACTCTTTCTCTCTTGGTATATCTCAAATTTACAAATCAATTTAATGAAGAAATTAAACCTTTCTGTCCTTGAAAATAGGGTTATAGTCAAAGAAGGAGGTGCCTTTCTCTGAAGGGAGGAGAAAGCTTCTACTTTGATAATGGCCTTGTCTAAATTAGGTCGGAGTCTGTGGACTCAAGAGGCTTCCATAGCCTTGGCAGCTCATGACAAGAGCCTCTGGTGATCACTGATGTCATAAATAAGAGTGTCAATTGTTAAATCAATAAAAGGAGACACTGTGCTCTTGCTCCCCATGTAGGGAGCTGTACTATGAAAATTAATGGTAAAACTAGTATTTATATGTTGTGTGTCTGTGTGGGTGCAAACTGTTGAAATCTTTACTTAGTATAGAGTTGGTCTATACTATTATTTAAAAATAATTAAAAATTAATCTTAATGAAGAATGGGATGGGAGAGGGAGTAGGAGGTGGGAGGGTGTGTATGGGGAGAAGAACTGCTATAATCTAGAAATTGTACCTATGAAATTTATATTTATTAAATAAAATCTTTCTATAAAAAATAGGGCTACATTGAAATCAGTCTTTCAAAACAGATCTTAACCTTCTCTCCTATACCAGTTGGAACCTTCTTCCCTTCTGCACTGCCTCTTGGCACCTTCAATCTCTTTAGTGCTCTTTACTATACAAGGCAGGAGGAGGGGGTTCCTCAAAAAGCTCATGGGAAAATACACATGAAAAAATATGCTTTGATTTAAAAAAAATTGCACTGAGGAGCTGTGTTGTGGTGCAGCAGGTTAAGCCATCACTTCCAACACCAGCATCCCACATCAGAGCACTGGCTGAGGATCAGGCTGCTCCAGTTTTGGTCCAGTTCCCTAATGTGCCTGGGAAGGCAGTGGAAAATGGCCCAAGTACTTCATTCCCTGCCTGCCCCCGATGGGAGACCCAGACAGAGTGCTGCACTCCTGGCTTCAGCCTGGCCCAGCCCCAGCCATTGTGGCCACGTGGGGAGTGAAGCAAAATATCTTTAGATTTCATCTTCCATGAACTTTTTGAAGTGCTCCAATATACACACAGACTATATATTTTATTTTATAAGAAGCTTGTCTGGGAGACAAACCTCTGAAGCTTACCCACCCAGTCTGATCCTACCAGATGGTGAGAAAGGAGCCTAGAACTTGCTCCTCTGTTCAGAACAGCCTGGACTGCTTTTATGTTTCACATGCTGAAGTATCAGGTCCCTTCTGTCAAGACCTAAAAGCAGCTGTCCTCCAAAATCAACCTCTGTACTCTATCATCCTAAAAGTCTGGGAGCAACCTGTCATAGGTGCTATTTCTAACACTTTTTAAAGTCTAAAACACAACTGCCAATCGGAAACAAAGAGACTTTCTCTGCCTCAGTTTGCTTCTCAAACACATGCTGTTGTTTGCTGCTCAGGTGCTAAGCTGTAATTGATAGGCTAAGGAAAAAAAATTAGCAGAGGAGACAAAATTCTGGCAAATTGATAGGATGATTACATTGCAGGTAAATAATAATTTCACAATAGCATAGTCTGTGCTAATAAATCTGCTTGTGCCTGGTGAGCCTACAATTAGCATCAGTTTTAATACCATTCAAATTAATATCAGAACTGACACTTTCAGCACAAAGTAATAGTAATTTACAGCTGTGTGCTTTCTGGTCTCAGCACCACCTACTGATGCCAGGTAATATTTAACAGCACTAACACAGAACTTGAGTTTTGGAAACTTTTTATAAAGTTATTCCATGGTTGCCTCTGCTTATATTCTTTTTAAAAAAAGATTTATTTTATTTATTTGAATGGCAGAAGGACAAAGAGAGAGACAGAGGGAGAGAGCAAGATCTTGCATCCACTAATTCACAAATGACCACAAGAGCCAGGTCTGGGCCAGGCCAAAGCCAGAAGCCAGGAACACCATCAAGGCCCCGATGTGAGTGGCAGGGACTGAAGCACTTAGCCTATCTTCCATTGCTTTCTTAAGTGCATTAGCAGGAAGCTGGATCAGAAGTAGGGTAGCTGGGACTCGAAATGGCACTCCAGTATGGGATGCTGGTGGCACAACCAGCGGCTTTATCCACTGCACCACAACACCAGCCCTTGCTCATACTTTTCTTTTTTTTAAAGATTTATTTATTTATTTGGATGGCAGAGTTACAGAGAGGCAGAGGCAGAGAGAGGTCTTCTATCCGCTGGTTCACTCCACAGATAGCTGCAACAGCCAGAGCTACACCGATACAAAGCCAGGAGCCAGGAGCCTCCTCCAGGTCTCCCACATGGGTGCAGGGGCCCAAGGATTTGGGCCATCTTTCACTGCTTTCCCAGGCCACAGCAGAGAGCTGGATCAGAAGTGGAGCAGCCAGGTCTCAAACCAGTGCTGGTTCAAGACTCTCACTCGTGTCCTTTTCTCCCAATTCTAACACAATAGCAGAGTGCAGCCAGTGCAGTGCACAGAACGCAGACTCTGCCTTCAAGAAGGCTAAAAGTCTGAGATGAGAATTAGGTTTAGCAGTTAAGACGCTGCTGTCATATGGCAAGGGTCTGGACTTGAGTCCTACCTCCACTCCCAATTCTAGCTTTCTGCTGGTCCACACCCTAAGAGGCAGCAGGTGCTGGTTGGAGAGGTTGGATCCTGCCACCCACATGGGAGACCTAGACTGAGTTTTGAGCTCCTATTTTTAGCCAGCCCAACCCTAGCTTTGGGGAGTGAACCAACAAATAGGAGCTGTCTCTGTCTGTCTCCCTCTCAAATAAATTATAAATGTAAATTTTTTAAGAAAAAAAAATAAGGAGGCTAAGATTCAACTTCTGGCCTGGCCCTCACTGGCTGTCTAACTTTGGGAGAGTGACTCAGTTTCGCCAGCAGTGACACTGAGTGCTTGCCCGGCTTGATCGCCCCTTCTTTTCATTGTTCTCCGTGTGCACCATGTTTAGGCTTAGAAGAGGGTTCTCTCTGAGCCCAGCTGGTCTCTGGCATGTGGGGAACCAAGGATACAATTCCTTTCAGAAATCCATAATGCTGCAGCCATGCTAGCTCCTAGTTTCTGTTATTGGGAGGCTTTTTCATGATATCGTCACACAAGTGGAAACAGAAATGAATCCGAGGAAAGTCTTTGGAACTAATGATGAATTCTATTTCTGAGTGTATTTCAATCAATGTACTGATTTTCTAGGCATCAGAAACAAGGGAAAACAATCATGTTTTACCGATCAGAAGTTCATTCTGATTTTTAAGAAAAATTTTTTTAATAAATTTAAAGTTTTAAAAGTATTATGTTTTGAAAAACATAGGACAGTTAGAGAAGAGTTGGTTAGGTTTGGAGGCCAATAGCTACAACATCAGGTACCCTATCGGACTGAAACATAGGTCTCATTTTTCATAATGTGTGTATATGCGTGTGTACATGTGTATTCCAAAAAGGTCATGAGGAAATGAATTAAACAATAAGTCTATTTAGGTGCAAAACATTTTGAAATCCAGGCATAGTTTTGTCATAATATACATTTTTCATGAATATATATATTATATATATAAATAATTGCTGTATTGCATTTCCTCAAAAGAACCTAAAGGTTCGGAGGCTTTCGTTGTGTGTTGTTTTTATCTAGAAAACTGTATTTGTTTTCACAGCACCCAGGCAAGTTATATAAGGGTTGTGCTGTGCGTCACGTTTCAAGGTGACAAACAAAGAACAGTCAGAAATAAAGGCAGGAGCACATCCCTGGTCTCCTAACTCCAACTCTAGGGCTTCTTGCACTCATTTTTGGACTGTCTACCCACTTCTCCAGAAAGCTCACTGATCTGTTGGTTGAACACAAATGAGTTCTCTGTATAAAGATGCTTATTTAGAAAACAGACTATTAAGCCAAAAAAGAGCTAAGCAAGTATCACTGTAGGAGAATGCTGTTTGTCTACAGAGAGAGGAAAAAAGCCAGATGGTCAAAGGCTTTCTCGGTGGCAAATAGTCCACCAGCATCAAGGCCCAGCCAGAGCCTCTGTTTCCTTCTTCCAAGCCTTTATCTTAGACGGTCTGCCCACCATCCCCACAAGAATGTGGCCCATGCATTCCTCAAAGAGACCAAATTCCTCTCAGTGAAATTCCAGCTGGCAAAATATAATGCAGAATCGATCAGAAATTTGCTTATGGCAGCTCTGTTTAACCAATTAGGACAGCCAGTCTTAATGTCTAAAGGCATTGTGTTTTCTCTATTAGGTTTGTCATTATAGTCTCATAGTTTGGGCCCTTGACTTTAATTTTTCAGAAGTGCCTGTTTAATTTTTCTTAACATATAACCTTCTGGGCCTTTTCTCTTGGTTCTTTAATTGCACAAGTGGGCAGTAATGAGGGGTAACCTTTCAGTGAGAGAAATCCACTAAATACATTTACCTTATCCCCGTCAGTGTAAACATACTCTACCACCTCCGTATATTTTATGCAGCATTCATTTCATCCCTTGCCATTCTACTCAATGGTTTGTTACAAGGAAAATGTGTTTCACATGCCAGCCAGACGTGACTGTCCT